AGTAAAAATTCGATATCTCAGCAACAAAGCTGATTGCGCACGAACCAAGTTGGGATTCTTCATAGTCCATGAGGATCTATATTTTAAAAATAGTCCCACTCAAAAAGATTTTTAGCCCCTTAGGCGGTTCCCTCGTCAGCTAAAGACTAAAACTCTATTTCCCGAAATCTTATTAAGTAACGCTTTCAAATTCCAGGTCTTTTTTCTTTTGTTGAATAATTTTCTATACATTGTCATACCTATACCTTTGATAACGGTTCTTCGCAGGTGATAAATTTATGTAAATCTATATATCCAAAAGTTGCATTTAGTGTGCTAACTTGCGTTTCAAAACCAAAGCGTAACTACTCTCTAGTTGTAAAGGTATACGTATACTACACAGGTAACATTTAGGTTTTTACGTTTATCATTATAGGCTTCTCGTATGATACTTTTAATTTCAAGAAATTCTTTATTATCAAATGCTATTTGAATGATGGTAACTAAACGATTTCCGATAGACCAAATTTTGAATTATTGCTCTTAACATATTCGAATTATAGCGGTCTTTGCATCTCAGAAAATGAACACAATTCGAGTGTGCTGAAATGTGAACTACACATCTGCTATATTGCTTTAAGCTCATGTCTATTGCTTGAATAACTGCCTCTTGAATTGATACTGGTCGATGATTAAAAACACATTCATTCATTTTCTCATTTGCTCAAGAACTGAAATAGTAGTTTCTTTAGTCTCTCTTAACGCTGTTTGGAAAAACAAGCTCATTTCTCGTTCTGGTTTTGTCGTATATGCAGCAAGATATTTGACACAGCCATATGGATCTAGGATATATTGAATATCGATGCTAGCTTTCCATGCGCGTAACATTCCTTCAGTGTACTGATTTATCTATCTGGCGTTAGGTCCACGCGTATACAGAACGATAGGTCTTTTATCAATTGCTCTAACAAATAAACATCATAAGGTTCCGGGAATTCAAAAGTCGAGCAGAAGTTATTTTTGCGATGTGTATGCATGATTCGACGCAGCTCGTCGAGCTGAATCCGAATATGTGGTTTCTAAGGTTTCAAATCGAATTTTTAGAGTCGAAAATTTGAAAAAGATCAAATTTTTTAAACCTGAAAAATGACTTATTTGTTAAAAAATGTGCGCAAATGTCTCATGTACTGCTTTTGGTAATTTTGAACCATTGTTATTCTTATTCTACGTGAAAAACTGTATCTAAAAAATATGCTGATGTTATTCAAATATCATATGATCCTGAAAATTGTTGATCTTTCACCAATAGTGAAAATCACTCTTTCCTCTCTGGCAAATGCAACAAAAGTTGGTTTTGCAGGAACTATACTTACATAACGAATGACTGTTTCACTTTTCGATTCGGTATAAAATGTCAACGCAAATATTGTTGCTCGTGCAACTTGCTTCTCAAAATGTTTGCCCAAGAAATATGAATGCGCTTTTTACATCTAGTATTATGTTCCATCATACTACTCGGTTTTTCATATTTTGAACATGCCTGATGAAGTCGAGAAAAATTGAATGTATCATCATCAGTTTTATTCAAGACCATTTCGGCTTCTCAACTTAGACCTTTATGCATCTTGCAATTCGCTGAGCTAGTGTCTTCACTCAGTGTATGTTGCTATGAATTCTACCACAATGATGGCAGAGAGCGGCAATTCAAATGCTCAGTAAGGCAACATTAAAATATGGACTAATATAATTGCTCTTCTTTTGACCAATAAGTAATGCTGTTGGTCTCTTTGATTTTTCTGACTATCTATATGCATAAAGGTCTAAGTAGACGCCATTCCATATTGAAATGAGGACAGGTTTATTAAGAAATGGTAACTACCTATGGCCAGCAGACTGTGTATATCTAATGGACGCTTTAGCTTAGTTGCTTATTCTGTTCTCCAACCAAGCACTAATTAAAAGAAATGTATGTGGCTTGATACAAAATGGTCTGCTCTTTCCAATGATCCCCTTGGTTTTAAGTTGTTGCTCCCATTCAGGAAAAATACTTAAATCCATCTCATTTCTGATGTAATTCCATCACGAAAACGGAGAATAACTCTCTTTACGCTTTACCTGATGCCTTCAGGAAAAAAAAGTAGATATTTGGATTGAGCGCTTCGAGAGCTGTCAAACCATGTATTTTGTTTTGCATTTTAGTTGATTCTTACCGGAGAAAACAAGCGCGACGGAATTACATGTCAATTTTTCAACGAAAAATACACTCACGAGAATATCATTTTCTAAGCTGGCTCAAATCATATACTTTTTTCTAAGAGAGAGCTGTTGCCCCCAGACAGATATTTTACGCATAAGAGTTTATCGAATACATTCTTTTTTAGGTAAAAATCCTTCTTTTGTTTTTGCTTAGATCGGCTTGGCCAACTAATTGTCATCGGTTTCAAAAGCCCAAGGGCTTTTGAGTATATAACTGGAACTCCCTCTTCTCTGATGATACTGAGGGAGTTCCACAAAACAGGTATAAATAGTCACACCGTTTTTTTTATTGTCTATTTTTTCTTTGTTTTTATGATTCATTTCTTCTGTCTACTGTCGAAGAAGCACATCTATCAAAAAAACAACATCAAAAAAAGTGTACTATATTCGATGATCATGAAAATGGCAGCTAGAAACATTTTTTTCTTTTTCACTAACTATACATATCGACCAATATTGTATGTTTTCTTATTGTTAACCACGTCACACTCAACGTAAAATCTGCTAGTAATCATCATCATCATCATCGCTCCTTTTTTCTTTCTCAGTGTATTGACATTTGTATTGCGTTGACGGAATAAAAAATATGAGTAAATATTCGCGAAAGAGAATAAAACAGTTAAGAAGCATAGAAGTAACTTACATTTTTGCTTGTAAAAGTTCTTCGTCTTCTTTTTTTCCAATATATTATTCATGTAGAGCGACAGAGAGAGTGTTATTGCATAATTCAACTCGAAGTTTTCTCCTTAAAATATATAACTGGTTTATAATTTTCTAGACTTCAAATAATTTTCAATAAAAAATAAAAAAATGGCGGAGAGTAGTGGTAAGTAAAATCGCCGGCTTCGATTCCCTCCAGTTTCGCCTTCCACACTACCCATATGTATGGCAAAGATGAGCACAGTGAGTAAGGTTTATTGTAAGTTTTATTAGTGAGCGAAGTCGCTCGGTTTTGATCTCGACTTCCGGTTGAGTGGACTAGAAATACGACAGAAACTTAGCAGAAGTGTTTGTCGTTTTCTTTCTAGAAAAACATTGCAGACAGCGAAGTAACTAGTCTTTCTGCAATAACTGTGCTTTTTCTCTTATAGCAAATAACCTCTCATCCAACGAACAACAGAGATGTCACGGCCCACTAGTCGATAAACCAAATATTCCTTCTCTACTAAAAAATTGTTTAAACCCTGCAGATAGGAATCATCCAGCGTTTTCTACACCCCAGCAGCAAGAATTAAAAATTCCCGGTGGCACATCGCAGGGAGCAGCGGCCGCCGCCGGAGAAATCTTCAAAGCCACACAGTTAACGTCTGAACAATGGCAAATTCTATTTGAAACTCGTCATCTTAATAAAGCACTATTTATTGACGCCGATAAACCAAAGTACAGTTTTGAACCTGTACTACAATTGAGACGAGGAATGCTGCCGAAGCTCAAAGTTGATGAAAGATCAGAAATTGAAGCACATTTAACCTATACAGAACGTAGTAAACTATTTGTAGAAAATCATTTCACGGAAGTGGAAGCCAGTTTTCAGTGTCCCTTTGTTGCTGTTTCAGCAAGCTATGAAGAAAACGAAAAGACAGCTCATAGAAAGGAAAAGAGAACTGTGAATACAACATGTAAATGGAACTTTTCACGTGTTATTGTAAAGTTAGATGACCCTACGACGATTGAACCTACGCCGGAATTTGTTAGAGAAGTTGATAAAATATTAACGTCACCGTCACATAAACAGTATGCTGAGTTTGAAAAACTATTTATGAAATACGGACATAAAATACCGACAGAGATTACACTCAGTGGACAACTCTATCATACGGATGTTACTGAGAGAGTAGCTAAAGTTAATGAAAAAGGACATGCACAACAGGTAAAAGGTAAATTTGAAGTGCGTATTAACGATGTTTGGGGTATGAAAGTTGGCAAAGGTTTGGGTTACGGACGGGGAAATGAAAGTCTCAATCGCGAAGAAAATATTTATCAGAAATCATCGATTACATTTAAAGCTACAGGCGGTAACGTACTGTTGTGTCAAGACCCAGCAAAGTGGATACCGACAGTTGAACACTGGCAGAACTGGGATGTAATCAAAAATGAAAACTTTATACCACTGTATAAAATATTAGACGAAGAACAGCAACGTCAAATTGAACTTTTAATACCGCCGTCGGAATCTAAAAACGTTCAGAAATCACCACTACGCGATTCTTACAGTGTTACACTTCAACCAACTCCTACTCTTTCCTTAACGGATAGATTGCAGGTCCATAGTTCGTTTGGGTTGATCGAAATTCTGCTTGCGGTATTATTATTGCTTAAAAAATGACTTCTGGTAGAGAAAAACGAGAATTACGGGCAGAATTCTGATTTTTTCGCGTCTGATTAGGCATGCACCGAGTAATTGACTAGGGATTTTACATTTTTTGAAACACTCGGTGTTTCGTTTCGTATATTGCTTGGTTAAAACTTTTTTGACTCGGCTAGAATGTACAGCAAACATTTCTCTATAAAATGAGAAATCGGACAGCTCTGCATGATTTGTTCTGAGATTTTGGTAGCGATACCCCATAAGGGCCTAACCGAGTATTCGTTCAGTGCTCGATACTCGATTATGTGTTCTTGAGGTATCGCTGCCAAAATCTCAGAACAAATCATGCAGAGCTGTCCGATTCCTCATTTTATAGAGAAATGTTTGCTGTACATTCTTGCCGAGTCAAAAAGAGTGTTAACCAAGGAATATACGAAACACCAGATGTTTCAAAAAAATATAAAATCCCTAGTCAATTACTCGGTGCATGAACAGATAGTTAATTATTTTCTAGGAAGAGAAAACTTCTACTATCAAGTGTCTGATGGAATTGATCCAAAGTGGATTAGTCCAGCTGTTTCTGAGCCTGTCGTTTTGCTTTGTAAGTTCTGCTAA